CCCAGGCTCAGGGAAAATTCTCCTGGACAATGTGCAGTGCAGTGGAGAGGAAAGCCACCTGGCCCAGTGCTCCCATGATGACTGGTTCACCCACAACTGTGGTCACAAAGAAGATGCCAGTGTCGTCTGTGCAGGTGAATGAACGTTCCCTCTCTTAAAAACTCAAATCTCATGCTTCATGCACAGAATTCAAAGAGCCTACTAGACAGGTTTAATGACCTACTCCAATGTTTATTAATGTTTTCATCTTTCCACACGAACAGACTCTGAAAGACTTGGGCCTATACCCCTAACATATCTTTTACTTGTGTGTATTTCCAATTGGTTCTTGGCTAGTCTTCACATTCTTTTTATGCAAAAGTCAGTGTCCTCAGCCTAGTTTATTCAAATGATTCATTTTCATTGTTCCAAGAATAGACTTGGGTCAGGATTGATGAAGATTATTTTTTTGTTGTTCCAGGATCATTATTCCTTCAGTTACACTTTATCTACAAACTTCATATTGAATTATACTTTATCTACAAACTTCATATTGAGTTCAATTTGAGTGTTTATTAAACACCTACTATGTACAAGGCATAGTGGAATACAAAGACAGAAAGAAAACCGTCCCTTCCCTCAAAAAGTTTGCATTCAACTGGTGGTTCCATTCCAATTGCTTCACTTCAAGGCATAGAGTTCTATATGTTTTTCACCTCTTTTACTGATTAGTCCCTATATTAGATTATTCCACAAGCTTTGTAGTTTGTGGTATAACCCCAGATGCAATAGGATCTAAGGCATCTTTCTTTTATTCTAACTGGCAACTGATTCACTCTAATCCCCTTGAAAAGTAAATGAAATTGATTTGCAACAATCTGTACCAATTCTCAGTATTTCCCTAAAGTAATTCTAGTTTTGCTATGGCTCTTTTAAGAGTAGAATATGCTATTTCCACGGAGTAGACCTGCCTCTACTGACATTCTCAAGGAAGGTAGCCTCAGTGGCGAGGTCAGAGCTCTAGAAATAGTACTGGTAACCAGTACTTGGTAAGCTATGTACCAGGCACTGTGATGAGCACCAGGGATGCAATACAAGCAAAATGGAAGGCCTTCCCTCTGCTCAAGGAGCTTACATTCTAATGGGGGAAGACAGAACATAAAAAGGAGCTGAGAAGTATAGGAAGGTGGGGGGAAGGTAAGGTACCCAGGTTGGGGCATGGTGGTGAAGTTCAGAGTCAGAAACACCAGAAGGGCATGAAGCATGGTAAGTATGGACTGATTCTCAAAATGGAAACCCCTAGAAGCAACTCACCAGTGGGAGAAGGGGTCAGCATGGCAAAGGGATGCTGCAGGGTGGAAAAGACACAGGTGCTGATGGAATTTCCAAAATGAAAAGGCAGATGAGTTAAGGTGGCAACATCTAGAGAGAGTCTGAAGCGTTAGAGTCAGGAAGAGCAGATAGGGGTTCGATTCATACCTCTACACATACTATCTGTTGATTCTGGGAAAGTTGCTTAATCTCTCAGCATTCCAGGCAATTTTCTAACAATCTAAATACAGATGAGTTGCCAAGCTAAATCTCCACACTTAATTTCCACAGTGATTAAATAACAGGGCACCTAGGTGGCACAGTTGATCAGGCCTGGAGTCAGGAAGACTCATCTTCCTGAGTTCCAATCTGACCTCAGACACTTCCTAGCTGTGTGACCCTGAACAAGTCACTTAACCCTGTTTGCCTCAGCTTCCCCATCTGTAAAATGAGCTGGAGAAGGAAATGACAAACCGCTCAGGAATTTCTTTGTCAAGGAAACCCCAGATGGGGTTCCAAAAAGTCTGACATGACTGAAAACCACTGAACAACAAAATTAAATAACAGAGTGTTTGTTTGGAGGCCTGCTTCTCCACCTGAAGGGCAATAAAATCTCATTAGTAACCAAAGACCAATGACACCAATGAAATCATAGGCCCAACCTCTATCCCAATGACATTCAAAAAGTATAGGCAGATGTAATATCAGGATATTAACAGCAATTGAAAGAAGGTTGAAGGCCTCAGTCATTTACTTTTGTTCTTCATTTCATAATAATAAAGTGATGGACAGTTCTTCCCTGACAAATAGGAACAGAAGTCTTTGTTTTCATCTCCTGCAGCAGCAGCAGGATTACCACCATCTTCGTCCTCATCCTCATCCTCATCATCTCTACTTTTATCTCCAGCGTCATCATTGTCGCTCCCAGAACCACCTCTGCCGTCTTCAGAAATACCTAGTCCATCAAGTAAGCTCAGATTTGCATCTGGTCAAACTCCAAGTTGGTCAGAATAAGGAATTTGAATCTTCTCAAGTCTAAAGAAACTTAAGATGTCATTGAGTGGTGACTGAAAATGGAAGGAAGGGAGGGAGGGAAGGAGGGAGGAAAGAAAGTAGGGGACAAGGAAAGGAGAGAGGGAGAGAAGAAGCAAGAGAGGGAGGAATGGAAGGAAGAAAAAGAAAGAAGGGAAGAAGGAATAGGAAGGGGGAACCAGAGAAGGGGTAAGTAGGGAAGGAAGGATGGAAGGAAGGGAGAGAGAAAAGGAAGAAGGAAGGAAGGGAAGGAGGGAGGAAGGAATGAGAAGTGACAATGAGGGAAGTAGGGAAGGAAGGATGGAAGGAAGGGAGAGAGGAAGGGAGAGAGGAATGACAGAAAGAAGGGAGGAAGGAAGGAAGGAAGGAAGGAAGGAAGGAAGGAAGGAAGGAAGGAAGGAAGGAAGGAAGGAAGGAAGGAAGAAAGGAAGGAAGAAAGGAAGGAAAGAAGGAAGGAAGAAAGGAAGGAAAGAAGGAAGGAAGGAAGGAAGCAACACCACCTATTTTTGTGCTTTTGTATTGGCTTGAGGCCCCATGCCTGGAATACACTCCCTCCTCACCTATACCTCTTATAATCCCTAGTTTCCTTCAGCACGCAGCTCATTTGCCACCTTCTACTTGAAACCTCTCCTGACCCATCCCACCCCTAGTTGCTACTATCTTCACTCACCCCAAATTGCTTTATATCATTTGCTTTTATTTATACATACTTATATATGCAAATATATCTCTCCCAATAGAATATAAGCTTCTTGAGAACAAAGACTCTCTTACTCTTGTCTTAGCATCCTCAGTGCCAACAAACTTCCTAGCACATAGTAGGTATTTGATTAAATGTTTATTAATTTTTTTTAATTGATTGCTTCGGGTGAGCTTAGTGGTGCTGGCCGTGAGGTCATAGCTTGAGCAATACTTCCACCTGGTGGTAGTTTAGGTGACTTTTAGGCATGGTGGGTGGGCAGAAATAAAGCAATTTCACATGTTGCTATTGCAAATCCAAGCCTATTAAGAGAAAGCGAAACTTCGCAAGTACAATATAATAAGAACAAAACATGTGTAGTGAAGCTGTAATAGATAGAAAAAAATTTGAGAGGGAGAATTCAAATTATTTTAAATACTCATATAAATTCCTTTCCAATCATTTGTGGTCTTTAAAAATCTTAGGAAATTCCATATAAACTTTGGATTTTCAATCTAGAACTCAGCATTTTTACGCTACAGGCAGTGGTGGTTAGTGGATGAGGCACTGGACTGTAGCTGCATATACTGTTTTTCAGTTTTCTCATCTATAAAATAAGGATAGTTGGACTCAATGACCTTTCCAGGCCCCAAATGTATTATCTTATGATGTTACTTAGGAAACAAATCTAAAATGCTATTTGTCATACTCAAAAGAAGAACACTTTTTCCTCTAATGATGGTAATTGAATTTGATAAATCCCACAGTGAAATCCTCAGACTTTCATTGAATCATAAAATTTTCTAACTAAAATTGACCTTTGCCCAATAATTCTCCACCCCAGAACACATACACATACACACACACACACACACACACACACACACACACACACACATTTTACAAATGAGGAAGTTTAAGGCTAGAAGTTTGGATTTAATTCAGCGAGCACTTACTAAATATCTATGGAATGGGCCAGGCATGGTATCTAGGTGCTTCAGATAAAAAAAAGAAATACAAAATAGTTCCTGTTCTCAAGGATCTTGAATCCGACTGGAAAGAAATAAGTACACAAACAAGTAAATTTAACATACATACAAAATAAATATAAAGGAATTGGGGCAGTGGGAAAGAGTGTTTGAGAAGAAAGCTAGTAACTGCGGAATCACAAAAGGCTTCATGCACAAGGTGGCACTTGAGCTGAACCTTGATAGGATTCCAAGAGGCAGAAATGGAAAGAGCAATTAAGGCATGGGGAAGGAGATGATACTCTGTGCAAAGGTATAGGCATGAGAGATAAAATATCATGTGCTGGGGACAGCAAGTAAATCACTGTGTCTGGAATATAGAATGCACGATGGGGAGGTAATGTGAAATCATTCTACTTAAGATAGGATGGAGCCAGGTTGTTAAAGATTTTAAATGTCAATAAGAAAAGTGTATATTTTATGTAGGAGGTAGGAGTGACCCACAGAACATTCTTTATTAGGAAAGTAACATATTCAGAACCATACTTGAGGAATAATCAATTTGGCAGCTTTGTAGAAGATGAATTATAGAGGGAGGAATCCAGAGACGGAGGAAATCATAATGGTTGGGCAAAGGGTAGATTAAATTCTTGTCCTTAAGTATGAAATTTCAACTTCACAAGTACAATAAGAAAGATGAGGGTGGACGAGAACAGGATAGCGACAGGAGACAGGCAGGACTGAGGTGGATGAGGATGAGGGAGCCAGCATGGAGTAATAGCAGAGAAAGAGAGTGTTAGCTTTAGCAGCTTTCTATCCAGAATCATGGTGATTTACGTAAGAGGGAGAAATGATTGGCTAGCTGTGGGATGGTTGATGTCACACCCTTCCTAACCAAAGCGGGGCTGTGCCCAGCTAGCACGTTAATTTGATTTTCTCCCTAGGGTGGTAGTCAGGTGATTGAATGGACAGATGCTAAGAAAGTAGTATATAAATCCTCCCTGATTTTTGAGGGCTAAGGTAAAACTGATCATCTTCTCTCATCAGGAAGAGCATTGCTACCCCAGGCCCCAAAACAGATATTGATTTATCACTCCCTGGAATGGAGGAGTGTTGCCAAATTTTTGGCTTGGGATTGTACCAGCTGGCCAGGTGGCCTGATTGTGAGGGACAGTTAAGGGGAACTAAGTAAGGATTGTTGCTAGTTTAATCTGTATTGAATAGAATGCTGTTAATACTGTGATCAAAGACTGCTAAAAAAAATCAAACCTGTTGAATGAAACCCCACAATCATAGTCCCTGTTTCAAGTTAGCTCTAAGCTTATATGGACCCAGGTCCATACCATGGGAATTTTCCATGATAAATGAGCTCTATATTTCATTGCCTCCCCCACACCATAATTCTGAGAAGTTCTAAAGTTCACTTAGGTCTAGGTTGTCATTATTTAAGCATGTTAACAATAAATATATTTATTCAGGGCCAAAATGAACAGTAAAAGCAACAACAAGTAGTTCACGTTGCTGGGGAATATATTTTTGTTATCCTTCCCAACTTTCTCCCCTCCAAAGCAGTTTGGTTATGGGGCCCCTGCAAAGACTCACAACTCTGACAGGGAAATCTTGGGCATAATTTCTCTCTAGATGAAGTGAAAAGTAGAAAACTTCATTGAAGGAAGGCCCTTGCCTCTCCTGGGATTCCAAGCAGTATTGATGTTGCTTCCCAGCTAAGACGTCTCTTCTCTTTGCTTTGTGGAGCTCATAGAAATTCCAGGATTTCTATGTTCCTTAGACATTGCCATTGGGTCTTATCCCCTCCCCAAAATGATGTGTGAATGGAAGAACCTAAAGTAGTCTCTCTTGGTGGTGGGTAGAAGAGGATTTCTTTAAACTTTAAATGAAATTGCTTTCAATGTGACCCCCCATTAAAATTAATTGATGCCTTTGTTTTTATATCTCCCTACATACCCAGCAAGCTATCTCTTATAACAAATAAGTTTTTTTTAAAGAAAAAAAGTTCAATTAAAAAAGGGATAGAGGGTAAGGATAAGGTTATTTCAGTAAATGATGCCTTGATTAAGTGTTTGCAATATTCCACCCCACCCTGCAATGAAGGAGGAAGGCATATTTTTTTTCTAGTTCTTCTCTGGGGCCAAGTGTGATTCCCATGTCCTACTGGGGGCACTTTTGCAAAAGATGTTTATTGAAGTTGACTTGATGACTGACTATTCAGGTAGCTTGATGAAGTACAAAAGGTATAAGCCTGGGAGTCTGGACACCAGGGTTCAAGCCCCTGTTTTGTTGCTAAGTAGCTTCAAGGCCTTGAGCAAGCCATTACTCAGCCTCAAAAAAACGCCAGGAAGACATTTGGAATACTAGCTATCTCTTTTAATCATTTATGGACTTGTCTGTTTTGGAGGTTAGTAGTGTGACTTTTTGATAATAGGTATTTTTTTCTTTCATTGATTGTAGCTGATAAAATATCAACTTCCTCATCCATATCCATGGAACAACCAATAAGTATGAAAGTGTTATTTGTAAATTTATCTTGCCTGTTCTCCATATTTAATGTATCAAACAAGATATATCACATTCATAGAAATAGAAACAGAATGAAAAACATAATACTGACCATCATTGCTGATTGCTTAAAAAAAACCCAACCTACCACAATCCTATTTGAACAAATATTAGAACAGCTATGTTATTATGCGGCCATGGTAGTGCTAGAAATTTCTATCAAATTTGTTTTAAAATATTCTGGTCCACCTGAGTAATAGTCAATAAACATTTATTAAGCACCTACTCTGTGTCAGGCACTCTGCTAAGTGCTAGACATAAAAATATGAGAAAAAATTCCCTGCCCTTAAGGAGCTAACAGTCTAATGGAGAAGACAACACCTCACAAGGAAGCTGAAAATGGGAAATAGAGGGTGGCCAGGGGAGGTACTCATGAGAGGCATGGTGGAAAAGGTGGAGAAATGCCAAAGTAGTGAGGCCGGGTGAGAAATGAGGAGATTAAAATAAAGATCTGCCCATTATTAGTCTGAGCCCACACTCTCATCATGATAATTCCATGGAACAGCAGGCTTTTATAAAATGAGAATTTGCCTTCATCTACATATTCCACCTACTGATAGAAGCCTTGGGATTCCAAAAAAGACCTATGATTTTCCTTATGTATATTGAGAGGCAGTTTGGCATAATGTAGAGAGAGATGAACATGGAGACAGGAAGACCTGGATTCAAATGTTACTTTGAATACTTGCTTTTGTATGACCCTGTTCCATCAGTCAGTCAACAAGCATTTATTAAGCACTTACTATATGCCAGGCACTGTGCTACATGCTGACAAATTGCTTAATCTCTTTGAGCCTCATTTTCTTTAATGTATAAAGTGATAATAATAGTGCCCGTCCCCCAGGGCAGTTGTGAGAATTACTCAGTCAACAAGTATTTCTTATATGTCTGCTAGGTACCAGACGCAAAAATGATCCCTGCCTTCAAGGAACTTACATTTTAATGTGGAACCAGGGGCAAAGAAGGCATGTATATATATATGTATATATATATATATATACACACACACACACATATATATGTGTATGTACATATGTATGTATGTATATATGTATGCATGCATATATGTGTATGTATGTGTGTGTATATATGTATGTATATATAATATATATTATATATATATATATACAAATTTCATTAGCTTCCTTGGATTCAACTCTCATCTCTATGCAGAGGATGGCCAAATTATATAACCAGTCCATATTTCTCTCCCAAGTTCCAATCCCACATCTCTAATTGTCTACTTCACATCTCCATGGGAACAGTACTCCTCTTTCTGCTAAACCCACCCCTCTTCTTAACTTTCCTCTTTCTGTGGACACTACCATTGTTCTATTCACACAGATTAGAAATGTAGAAGCCATCCCCAACTCCTCACACTCACCCATCTTCTTAATAATCAATCCATTGCCAAACCATATTGATTCTGCCTCCCCATCATTCCTCATATTCATATCTTTCTTGACACTCATACTACAACCACCATAGCTTGGAGTCTTATCACCTGAACTATTACTAGAGCCTGTTAATTGGTGTTCCTGCACTCCGCCTTTTCCTTTCCTCTCCTATCCATTCCCCACATAGCTGTTCAACTGATATTCCTAAAGCAATGGTCTCACTTGGTCAGTCACCTGATTAAGATGAATCAATGGTTCTCTATTGTCCCTAAGATAAAATGCAAACTCCTTTGTTTGGCATTTAAAGACCTTCACAATCTGAACTCAGCCTATCTTTTTTTGGTGGGGAGGGGAAATCATAATAGGGTATGGACCTATGTTTTCATCCTTATTGACAAAGGAGCAACTACCTCTTCTGCCATTTATAGTCTTGGAAAGATGCCTCAAGGACCAAGAAGTTGGTGACCCAAGGTTACACGGCTAGTATGTGACTGAGGTGGCAATCAAACCCATTTGCCATACAGTCTCTCTTTCTAAGCTGATTACTCATTACTCACATAATGTACTTCACATCCCCACCTTAATGTGCCAATACGCTGTTCCCTCGAAGTAACATTCTATCTCTTGCCTTTACACCTTTCCACAAGCCATTTCCCATGCTTACAAAAATCTCCCACCTCCTCTGGAATCCCTATCTCCCTTCAAGCCTCAGTCCACATTCTACCTCCTTCAAAAGGACTTTCCTAATTTCCCTAAATGTTAATGAAACTCTCCACCCCAAAATCACTTTGTATTTATTGGTATGGATCATGTATTTATTTATCAGTGAACATGTTGGATCATCCCTGTAAAATTTGAAGTCCTTCAGGATAGAACTCTCTAACTTTGTATCTATACCCCTGATACTTTAGCAGAGTGTCTAGGACATAGCTGGTGTTTAATGATTCTTTGTTGATTGACTACTCCTCATTTATAGGCTATACCTCTAAGATCCTTTCTAATAGAGAGATACTGTGATTCCAGGTTTTCAAAGAAGTTTTTCTTGTTGCCATAAAATATCTTTATTTTTTATCTGTGTTGCGGTAATGTCTAATAGTGTGGTGAATTTTGATTTTCTTTGTAGTTGCTGACTCCCCGGAACCTGCAACAGCCATAGCCATGGAACCCCTGATGCAGTTATCAGGTATGAACCGATTCTGCTGGCAAACATTGGGCTGAGAGGTGAACGTTAACTGACCCATGCTTAAAAAAACAACTAGGAAAGGTGGCAATAAGAATGATGCAGAATTATATTTCAAAAGATCTAGATTATCTATTCAAAAGATATGTAGAGCTGAAAGAGACTCCAGAGGCTCTAATTCCAAGCCCTCATTTTGCAAATGAGGCAACTGAGGCCCGGGGAAGTTGTGACTTGTCCATGGTCACACAGATAAATGTCAGAGGCAAGATTTGAACCCAAGTCTTCTGACTCCAAAGTCGATGTGATTTTCCCTGTACCACATCCTAAGGAACAAACAAGACATAATAGATCAGGGGCTTCCAACCCCCGGGGAGAATGAAAAGTTTATCAAGGAGTATGAAGAATATTTGGTAAATAACTATGTTATCTCACTGAAATGAATTAATTTCTTCCTTTCTTGTGTGCATATGCATATTAAATTCTAGAATGTATTTCCTTACATATTGAACAGGAGGGTACAGAGAATAGGCCAAAGGTTGTACTGGAATACAAAGGTTACAAAGACAGAAAAAGGTTTAGAATTCTTGGAACAAAATATAGGCCTCTGAAGCTAAGAGGAAAATATCCAGAGACATTGTGACTACTGACCAGTACCTATCCGTCCATGCATCCATCCCTCTATTTATCTATTAATTGATCTATCTATCCATTCATCTAAGGGTGTGTACTTGTATGTATATGCACACATACTTACATGTATGTGTGTATATATACACACATATATGTATGTGTATGTGTGTATGTGTGTGTGTGTGTATATATATATAAATACACATATATATTCCATCTCTAGCTTGTCATAAATATGTCACCCGGTTAAATCTGTTCTTGAATTTCATGCTTATACTTGAAATGACTATTTGGTGCTTACGTAACTAAACATCCTCAAAAGACAGATCCATTTTATTGTAAATATATTTCTTTCTAGCAAAGACTATTAAAATGCATAGCATTATTATTTATCTTTATCTGACCGTGACACTTTCTCTAGGAAAAAATACAAACTTCTCAGCCTGTCATTTATTTACCTGTGGAACTCAGCTTCATTCTATCTTTCCCAGTTTGTTTTTCATTACTCTTCTTTATTTCCTCCAAGTTTTGGTCAGTCTGACTTCCAGAGCTTGTCTGTTAATAGCTTGTATTCCCAGCAGAATATAAGCTAATTGAAGGTAGGGACTGATTTATCATCATCATCATCATTATTCTGTATCTCCATTGTCTAGCTCAGTACCTTACAGAGAGGCACTCTTCATGGTATTCGGTCTTTTAAAAACTAGGTGACTTGGTAGCTAGAATAACAGATTTGGAGTCAGAAAGACACCTTGCCTCAAAAACCATACTAGTTGTGTGACCCTGGACTGGCTCCTTAGCCTCTCTTAACCACAGGCTCCTTATCTATAAAATGAAGAGGCTGTACTCAATGGTATTTAAGGGTCCTTCTGGCTCTAAACCCCTGATCCTTTAAGAAACACTTAATATATATTTGTGGAATTGCATTTTAGATGATATTTCCAATGATGAGACATATGTGTGCATGAAGAGACCATCTTGTGACCCAAGTGTGTCACTCAATTCAACAAGTATTTATTAGTGCCTGGTACATAGTAAGCACTCTGATAGGCACTGCTGTTACTAAGGCAAAATAAAGAATTGTTTCTTACCTCAAGGTGCTTACATTCTTACAGTTACCTCATAAGAATGTTGTAATATAATGCAAGCTTCAGGGAAACATTATGTTATTTTTATGGCCTATGTGACATAGAAGAAGGGTGAGAAGTATCTGAAAATCATGCAAGCCTAGAGGAAATTATCATACTGTATCATCTTATAAAATGCAACAGTAACAGTAGCTGGTCAAAGTAGAGAAAGAAGGGAGGGGGAAGGGAAGGAGGAAAGGAGGCAGACACATGAGATTAAGAGAGAAACATCCACTGAGGGGAGCAGATTGTATTTGTTTTGGTCTAAGGTGGCTTCCTTCAACCCTGTCATACAATGTGGAAGAATAATTTTTTTTTATTATTTAGTATTATCTTCTGAAGGTCCAAATTAATCTACATCTCTGGGATCATGAGTTGAGAGGAGAAAGAAAGACAACGGATGATGAAAAGAATGGAGAAATATATTCTATGCTTGGAAAGTGGGTTTCAATATCTCTCTCTCTCTATTATACCTCCTCAGATGAGTCTATATCAGTGAGGCTTGTGAATGGATCTGGAAGATGTTCAGGACGTGTTGAAGTTCACTACCAAGGAACCTGGGGGACTGTGTGTGATGACCTCTGGGACAGGAAAGGAGCTGATGTAGTGTGCAGGCAGCTGAAGTGTGGCCAGTCCATTTCAGCCTTGGGAGGGGCCCACTTTGGAGCAGGCTCAGGAAAAATCCTTCTGGATAATGTGCAGTGCACAGGGAAAGAGAGTCATCTGGGGCAGTGCGCCCATGTGGGCTGGGATGCACACAACTGTGGGCACCAGGAAGATGCCGGAGTCATCTGCTCAGGTTCATTTCTTTTTGTTTTTAAATTTTTATTATTCTGAACTTTTAGAAAAAAAAGCATTTCTACATACACAACAAAACCTAGGAAGAAAATTTTATAGCTTAGGTTTCCCATCTTGTTCTTAAAAATCTTGCATTAAAAGCAAAACAATAATAACTTGCATAATATTGGATACTGAAAACACAATAAATGTTTGTCTCCTTCTGTTCTTAGATGCTAAGGATCCAGCAGTTCCCACATCATCCCCAAGACCCCAAGATGTTTCTTTAACACACGTGGGACCAGGTAGGTGAAATCGTCAGGGTGAATTATTTGTGTTTCCTTTCCATAATCACAATCTTTAGTTATGATAGAATCACTGCAGGAAAAGCAGAGGACCATAAATTCATGCAGTATTAATATAAATTCAGTATCAATTCATATGGTATTTGAGTTGGAAATTACCTTAGAGGCCTCTAGTCCAACCCTTTAATTAGTACATAAATCTTTTCTACAAAGATGATACCAGCTAGACTCTAGCCTAGGATGAAATGTGTGGATTGGGTTATCTTGAAGTAGATATGGGGCAATAGTTCTGTTTAAGACAATCTCAGAACCAACTCTGATGCCCTGAGAAGAGTTTCCAAAGGGGAAGAAAGTTAACTTTCTGTCTACTTGGAATATATAGAGCATGTACATAACTGTTTGCATGTTGTCTCCCATTAGAATGTGAGGTGCATTGGGACAGGGATCTCGCTTTTGCCTTTCTTTATATCCCCAGCGCTTAGCACAGGGCCTGGCACTTAGTAAATGCTTAGTAAATGTTTGTTGACTGACTAACTAATCAAACAGAGGTGTTCCCAGAATATGGTATTCCTATATTCATCTCTGGGGCTCACAGCTGAGTGTGCTACGGAGATCCCATCTTTCTACCCCCTCATTACTTCCCATTTTTAATAATGAGGGCAGAGCCACTGAGTTCACCCGTTAGCTAGGCTAGCACCTCAGCCTCCAAGTGGACTGTATCCATTTACATTAAAAGACATAAGAAATTGTTATTTGGGGTCATGGGGGAGGGGAGGGTGGAAGTGAAAAAAAATGGAGAGAGTTTGAAAAACTTTGAGAAAGGGTGAAATTATTGAGAAGTCCTAGTACTTATCCACATCCAGTGACATCATCATGATAGCTCTTCAGTCCAATTTCGAGTGATGGGAAGCTTGACCATTTGCAGATAGGTTCCTGAATAATGGACCGAATTGCTAAGTTCATTCTAGTGTGTCAATGGGATGATGGAAATAACTGACCCCTAAATCCTCTGCCTGGTTGTTTCATGTATCTTGGCAATGGGCTTAATCTGCCATTAACACAGATCATTGAGTAATGAATCCATTACTTGACATGAGAACATTATGAAATTTGAGAAGAGTGAAAATGATCACCTCTGTTCCCTTAAGCCATCAGCACCAAGACAGGTGCTTTTAAATTTAGTGCACTGAAAAAAAATTCCAAGCGGGTCAAATAACCCATTAGGTGAGGACCAATGATGCCTAAATGCCATGGAAAATACATACTCTATAGCCATTTGAGTCACCCACTAGATAGCAGTGAGGCTAGCAAATGGCTCAGGATATGGTCATATTCTCTCTTAAGTAATATGGGGGACTGAATGTGACAATTTGGGGGACATGATGCAGCTGATGTAGAATGAAAGCAAGTAGAGTGTGGACAGTATGTTTCAGCCCCAGAATTGGGCCACTTTGGAGCAGTCTCAGTAAAAATCCTGCTGGACAATGGACAATGCATGAGGAACAGAGCCACCTGGAACAGTTTCACCAGATAGTTATTCCACAAACATTTATTAAGTATCTACTATGTGCCAAGCACTGGGGATGCAAAGAAAGGCCAAAAAAAGGCCCTGCCCAGGTGCAGCTAGATGGCACAGTGAATAAAGTACCAGCTCTGAAGTCAGGAGGACCTGAGTTCAAATCCGACCTCAGACCAAACATTTGACATTTACTAGCTGTGTGACCCTGGGCAAGTCACTTAACTCCAATTGCCTAAAAGTTTAAAAAAATTAAAAAATTAAAAAAACCCTGCCCTCAAGGAGCCCACATTCAGATGGGCTTTTCATTTCAACATGAAAATGACTAGGTACATATTAGCTACATATAGAATAGGTGGAAGAAAACCATGGGCCCTGAGATAATGCTAGAGTTGTCTGCTCATGTTAATTTGTTTCTTTTTCTGTACTGGTAATTTCTATACTGGAAAGAGCCCTGGACTTAAAATTGAAGCACTCAGGTCTGAGTCCTGGCCCTGCCACTTACTAATCACAATAATAATGTATATTCCTACAGCGCTTTAGGGTTTGAAAAGCTATTTACATACATGATCTCATTCGGGCCTCACAACAACCTTGAGAGGAAAGTATTATAGATATAAATATCATCCTTTTATAGATGAGAGAGTTGAGGCTCCAATGGGATCTTGCCAATGGTCATACAGATAGTAAGTGTCTGAGTCCTGATTTAAACCCAGACCTTCTTGATTCTGTGACCATCATTCAAGCCCCTCTGAGACTCAATTTCATCAACTGTAAAAATGAGGACATTATCACACTCTCTACCACATAGGATTAAGGTGAGGAAAATATCTTATAAACTCTAAAGCATGATATAAATGTGGATAGAGGTTATTATTGTCATCTCATATTCAAATTTTACAAGGAGGTTCAGATACAAATAACCCTAAAACAAATACCAGTCATGTTATGTTTTTTATTTTACTGTTCAGAAAACATTATACAGGTGCATAGAGCAATTACTTTTGTAGTTGAACGAAAGCATTAGAATTTAAATTAACTGAAATCATCCCTAGTACAACTCCAGTAACAGACAGGACAACAAAGATGGTATATACTTTATCCTGTTCCCCTGTGATTTTGATCTCCTTCCTCTGTTACATCACCATTTTGAAAGCTTTTCACTCCATGGAACTTGAATATTTGATATGGTGACATTTATCAAAAGTGTCATCCATGACTCAGTATATAATATTGGTCCTGTTCCATTACAGTTTCCATTACAGTCTATTGGTTGAGTTCTCTAAGATATTTGGAGTATAAGGCTAATTTATTCTGTTAGTCCATGAAAAGTAGCAAGATTCTGGTGTATAATTCTAACTACTGGAGCTAAATTTTTACAGTTTTTAATGATATATTGAATAATTCCTATTACTTTATTATGGGCAGATAGGTGACACAATGGATAGAGTGCCTAGCCTGGAGCCGGAAAGATTCATTTTCCTGAGTTCAAATCTGGTCTCAGACACTTACTAGTTATGTGACTTTGAGCCAGTTACTAACCCTATTTGCTGTAGTTTCCTCATCTGTAAAGTGAGTTGAAGAAAGAAATGGCAAACTACTCCAGTATTTTTGCCAAGAAAACTCCAGGTGGGGTCATGAAGAGTCAGAAACGACTGAATAACAACTACTATAACAATGACATAATCTATGTTACTAAGTCCAAATTCCTTAAGGGCAATCCTTCTGTAACTTCTGATGGCAATGCCATTATTACCATTATTGATTTATTTTACATAATTTACATATACAGCACCTAGTACTCATGCAATCAATTAGCATACCCTTTCTCTCTTCATAGCAATAGATGCTGACTCTTCACCTATTCTATCAATAGGCATGAAAAATCTTATGCTTATGCTTCCACTAAACGACTTTTTCCCCCTGAAATTGAGAAACAGGTAGAATAGTGATGCAGGACCCTGGACAGAAGATGCTCTTCTCTCTTCTGTTCTAAAAAGGCACTACCTCTTTCCTGATGCAAAAGAGAGGGAAGCACATTGAACAAGTACTGGTTGAGTATCTTATGTGCTGAGGAATGCCTAAGAAGGGGCATAGGGCATGGTTCCTGCCTTCAAGAAACTCAAGGTCTACTTAAGGAGGCAAGACTAGTATACATGATTCAATTATGAACACTATCAGATAGTATACAATAAATTTCTGAACTGTGTCATTCATTCCTAAGGGCTGAAGGAGATTAGATAAGAACAGAGCTTAACTAACCATAAGAGCCCCTGGGTCATAACTAACCATACTCCCTGGAGAAAGTAGGCAGAAATAGGAACCCAAATCAAAACAAATTCAGTTAGGGACCTACTGAGCAAGGACTTCCTAAGGTCAGCACATTTTTCTCCACTCTTTTCATCATCTCTTGCCCCTTCCTACTTATAGCCCCAGGAAATCCCTTCTTCCCCAGGGCACACTTCAAGGTTGCTGCTAGGAAGGTCGCTGTGAGGATAGGAGATAGGACCAGGACGAGCAAGGGAGGAATTCCCCTGGGGTACAGATGTCAGAAAAAGAAGTTCACTATCTGGTAGTTTCTTAGTCCTATTAATTAGTCTTGCTAACTAGATACCAAGCTCAATTGTTTCTATGCTACTAATGGACTTAATGTGCTATCATCAGCCTCTAAATTCCCATACGTTGGGGCTAAATCTTGGTTATCCCACCCTAGTTACAGCTCTGAAGAAGAGGACCATCGAAGAAGTCTAGAGTGATCAGTCTTCATGGAGGAGATAATACTTGGGCTTAGCCTCAAAGATGGGGTAGAATTTTGATTCAGGAGAGGGAAGAGTATTTCGTGAAAGGGAAACAATAGAGGCAAGAAGGAAAGCATATTCAGGGAGTAGTGAAGAAGCAGGCCTGATCAGAGCTACAGGCTGATAAATTACAGAGTATAAGCTCCTCTAGATAGGGTAAGGTCTCAGAAAAGATCTTAGAATCTGGGCAGAAGAGTCTAGACCTGATGTGGTAGGCAATGAGGATTCATTGAAGGATGTGGAGCAGGGTACTGACATGATAAAAGTGGAATTTAAAGAAGATTCTCTTGGAGGTAGTATGCAGAATAGAGATTGGGGGCAAGATTAGTATCTGATTAGGTGCAGGAGATGAAGGAGGGAGTTTATTCAAATGTTACTCTAAGTTTTCGCATGTGGTGAATGAGAGACAGTGCTACTTCCTAACACAGGTAAATTGGAAAGAGAAGCTATTTGGTGGGAGAAGATGATTAATTAAGTTTTTTACATTAAAGTTTGAGGTGGCAATGGGATATTCAAATGTAAATGTCAAATAGGCTGAGAAACACAGAAGGAGGGTTTGAGATGACACAAACTAGAGATAAATATTTAGAAGTCATCAGCAAAGAGGCATTAGTTGAAGTTATGACAGCAGGAGGGTTCTCCAAGAAAGTATTCAGTGAAATAAGAATGGAGGCCAAGGATGGTGC